GAGTTGCTGATTCTTCTTTCTATTCCCAGACATTAATAGAGATATCCGGATTCATTTCCTCAATCTTATTAAATATCCGTGAACAGATTGGTGTAGGCATTGGATGTTATCAAGTTTGACGATATCTAAATAGGGTTTGAGTTTTTTTGGCTCGGAAGATTTGTTCAAGATGTTCTGTATTCCCATCTTGATAGGCAAAGTAAGTTTCTAAAACTCCTTGAAGACATTTTTCTGATAAAGAATTTGTTTCTGGGTCAACTAAATCTTGATTATTCAGATTGATAGTGCACTTTGTATTGGCAAGCTTTATGGGAGTAGGAATATAGGAACCTCCATTGGATCTACGAAGTGTATATGTTTCAATTAATATTATTTCTAATCTAATAAGAATTTTGCCAGACCCTTCCTTCATATATGCCTCAATCTTTCCCCGACAGATTGTGTTAAATGCTGGTCTATATCATTTTCTGAAAAGAGTACATGTATGTTGCTTCTATGATAAGGGTGGTGATAACTTGTATTATAGTTTTTTATATCAGCCGTATCACTGATTCCTTTTAACAAACGTCTAAGCAATCAGATAAAATATGCAGATGTGCCTTACATGCCACAACTCATAGATTCAACACAAAACGCAATTACAGATGTCCTCAAAAAAGAGCTTCACAAAAAGGATCAAATAAAATCGGCATTAGTTATAAATGCCACATACATAAAATATGAATATGCAGGATTTTTGTTTGATGGCACTATGCCCTCCTATACCGTCATAGATTTAAGATTTTGGTGTTGTCTAGTGGGTTCTGGTCTTTTTTCTAAAAATTCTATATTTTTTGTGGGTGGCTTTTTCTCTATAACTCTATCTTCTACTTTGTAAATTGATCGAAAATGGTTTTCTGGAGCATATTTTACCTCTTGAACTTCGTTCTGTGAGGTTATTTCTTCTCTATATGCTTGGGTTACTGTGCCTGGACCAGCTTCTTGGGAAATTGGTTTTGGTGATTTATTTCTTTTTGCTATTTCTCGCCTTTGATCTCTTCCTCGAATGTGAGAAATGGGAGGAGGGACGCCTTGGGGAATTATGATTTGAGTAATTGGTTTGCATTTAAATTTTTTTTCTAAATAATCATGGAGTTTACGTGGTGTTGCAAAGTTATAACCACATCTATCACAAATTCTTTTACCTTTAGCCATCTTGATTTGTATA